CAATCTTTTCCCTCTGAGGTGTGGCATTTTTCGTTATCCCAGCCACCTTTGCCCTTGGAAGACATATACCTTGTTCTCTGAGCCCTTCCTTTGAACCATTTTTGTCTTCATGATCATTCGCACATTTCTCGGTATCATCTTGAGGGTCTATGACATAGTGAGTTCCTCCAGAATAGTCCGCAGAAATTCCTGGCTGGGGAGCATCTGTCGTAGGACTGTCACCGCCCATCGCACCGCAGCCCTGGTTGGCCCTGTCTCCAGTCGGCCGTGTGGTTGGGCAGCGCATGGCTGCAGAGCAGCCGTCCCAGTGCAGGGATCCGCTTCCAGGACTCGCCTCCCTTCCCTCCCTTGCTGACGTTCTCAATTTACCTTCACTGCTTTACGGACTCCTTCAGGACGTCGTTTAAGATTTACTCTAGTGAACGACCAGGGTGGTAAACTCTCCCATCTAGAAATTTCCTTATTTCACTTCAATTCCTGAAGAGTATCTTTGCTATCACTTGCATTCCTTTAGATATTGAATATATCGTGCAGTATCTTCTGGTTTCCGCCGTCACTGTCGAGACATCAGCTGTCGTTTTGTGTCTTTCCCTCACTGCTCATAAGAGTCCCTCTGTGTCTGTCTCCCTCTCGCGTCACTCGGTGTGCCACGCTCGGGCTTCCTCGCGCTTCTCGAATCGATGTCTCATCACCGCCAGGCAGTTCTCAGCCGTTAAGTCTTCGCAGCCTGGGCTCATTCTCTTCTTCTCTCCTGCAGGGACTTTCAGTGAGAACAACTTTCCTGCTCCATCCTTCCCTCAGTCACGTGGTGTCTTCTAACCCTTTGTTCCCCTGCGCTGCGTTCTCGATTAATTCCTCTGACCCAATTCATTAGTTTTCTCTTCAGCGGCTTCCAATCTGCTCTTAGTCACATACTCTCAGTGGGCTGTGTTATTTCTCCTTGCCAAAAGTTATGTTTTGCAATTCATCACCAGAGACTTTGTTTCTGGATATCGTTCGCATCTGTTCCTTTCTCTGTTCTCACCGTCACGCACTGGGGACCTGGCTGTCGTCGTCGCTGGCCCAGACTCTGCGGTCACCTCCCAGGTCCTGTCCCCAGCTCTTTCTGTCTGGTCTCATTCGTTCCCCACACAACAGCCCGAGCGAACTCGTAAAAGTGCAGATGAGGCTGCGTCACTTCTAAAACTCTTCAGTGTCCGCCCTGGCGCTGTTCATGCGCGGCTGCCGGACACTCGAAATGTGGCCAGTGTGCCTGGGGAACTATCCATCTTTTTAAAATTGTATTTATTTTTAA